AATAGTGAGTTGGTTTTCAAGGGTGCAAGGCGAACGGCCGTTGTTCTCGGGTAGTTCCCCAGAGGTAGGAAGCAGTAGAAGTGAATGTTTGTGAGAATCTGACAGAAGCTGGTCCAGTAAAATATTGTAAGTTATATTTTCTACTTATATTCCAAGAGTCGCTGTTCAGGCTAGAACTAGAGATTCAGTTTATCGAGAGGAGAAGAGGCTAGTATAATTTGAACGATATGTACATTTGAAGGAGATCATTAAAGACGATAGACTTGCAACAATTTGTTGTAAGATTGCTGATTACCTAGGGGACTGCTAAGAATAGATAGTGTAGGCTATAAGGAACAAGGATTTGAACAACTCATCATCAGAGAGAGATAGTTTTGCTATTCATCAGTTTTTTTTACAACACAATTTTTACAATTGCTTTAGAAGAGATAGGAATATTTTGATTAGCAGATTTAGAACAACAATTGTGATTTGAGATTTTAATTTATATTGTCTGTACCATTAATTTTGAAGGTTTTCGTACGTAGAACAAAAGTTTGATAATAATTATATGAGATATTGTTTATTGAAGATATTTGAGTGTGAATTTTATTTCAATATATTTTTAATTCAATATATAATGTTATATCATATAGGTTTTTTATTATTCCGGTATTCTTTGGACCTTACCTCTCACAGGTAAAGCATATATATTAAAGCACGAGTATAACCCTGAGATAAGAGAATTAAATAGTGTGATATAATCATAATTATGTTATTTAAATAAGTTTAATTAATTAATTAATTAGCTAATTATTTGCTTGGCGCATTTAAGACTTAGAATATCACATTAATATATACTACTTTCTAAAATTAACGCATTACCTTAAATTGATCATATGATTTTGAAGCTTTTTTCTTCTGAACAATTAATTGGATTTAGATGATTTTGTTTTTCAGATCGTCGGTAGATTTCTAATTAATTATTACATTAATTCTTTCAAATAAGAAATATCAACGCTCTACCTATATACGGAATGTTAAAATAGGTTTTGACTTAATCTGTCTAATATTGACAGGTTTATGTTTATTGTTTTTTTTTTACAAATCATTATTATACTTTTTTATATCAGTTTCTAATCTAGTTTCTATAGGTTTTTTCATCTGGTATAATTTAAATTTATTTAATTGTTACACAATTCCCTTTTTTTCTTTTACCTCAGCAGTAACTATTTTTTTATTCCAAAATTTTTTTTTATATTTTTATAATTTATTGGCAATTGATTGTATATTCTTGGAGCAAAAGATTTATTTGACCGTTACGTAATTGTTTTAAAGTGTGAAGAGATTCGACATTCAATTTTCTTCTTGTTTCATAATTTGACACTTTTACTTTAAGAGAAATTTTATCCAATGAATGTTTTTAAGTAGCTCTAAGCAGTATAATTGCCGAACATCAAAAACCTTAGTTTCGTGGAAAAGTTATTCTGAGGGATATGTTTTTCGTTTTCCATATATTAGTTTAAGAAACCATTTCTGAGTATTTTAAAGGGTCACCAAATGGCAATTAGCTACTCCACCCCATCCTAAAATCCCATCTACAAGATAAGTTTGTACTAGAGATAGGGAAATAGACTAGGCGAGATCTGTAAAAATTCAGACCATAATGGACATTTTCCATAGGAAGCTATTTTTTTGATGGAATCCCTTCAGGATAGGCCCAATATCGATAATCACGATATGCGCCAGTCGCAAACCCTGTGCTAAATTTTTTATTTAACAAAATCTGAAAACAATTGAAATTTTCTCATTTTTTTGCTACTATTTTCGTTTATAATTCGGAAAATATTAATCCTAGAGAAAAAATTATAAGTAGTTAAAAGTTTCGTTATTAAATTTTACATAATATGTCTTTAGCTAGAAATTGAAAATTTATTGTATATTGTCGAAAAAATAGCAATAATTGGAAAAAAAAGTACAAAAAAATAAGTTAATCCTTTAAATGTTTTCGACTTTTTATACTTGACTTACAAGCTCCATATTCCGCCTAGAAAAACTTTTTAATATATTTAAAACGTGTGCTAAATTTTATTAAGATCGGTCGGATAGGTTTTGCATAATAATTTTGCAATCCAGCCTACTGGAAAAAAAATCGCAAATTTTCAAATTTATAGTAGGCCCTAAATAAGGCCCTCAGATAGTTGCAATTTTTTTACGTATAAAGGAGGGCCCAAACTTTCAAACGCTTTTTATAAAATTTAAATCGGTTAACTAGGAGAGCCTAGAAATTTTTTTAAAGTTTTAAACATTTTTTAGGCTTATAAACAAATTGAATAACTTTACGAGCTTTAAACCCATCATTTTTTAATCAAAATATATTCTCAAATCTAATAATGTCATTATTATGATAAAACTGTAGAAATTAATTATTCGCATATTCGTAATTATTAACAAAGGCGAATTTCGTTCGCCTTTGTTTTTGGACGTATTTAACACGTTTTTTTGGACGTTTTAACAATTCAAAATTATTACTGTTATTATATATTGCTACTTTTAGTAAACAAATATGTATTTATAAATTGTTAATAAATAATTTGAATTGTTAAAATAAAGGCGAACGATTTTTTTTTTTTTTTTGTAAAAATCAAACTTTTTTAAAATAATTAATTTCTGCAGTTTTATCATAGTAATGACGTTATTTGATTTGAGAATATATTTTGATTCGAAAATGATATGTTTAAAGCTCGTAAAATTATTCAATTTGTTTATAAGCCTAAAAAATGTTTAAAACTTTAAAAAAATTTCTAGGCTCTCCTAGTGAACTGATTTTAATTTTATAAAAAGCGTTTGAAAGTTTGAGCCCTCCTTTATACGTAAAAAAATTGCGTTTGCAACTATCTGAGGGCCTTATTTAGGTCTTACTATAAATTTGAAAATTTGCGATTTTTTTCCAGTAGGCTGGATTGCACAATTATTATGCAAAACCTATCCGACCGATCTTAACAAAATTTAGCACACGTTTTAAACATATTAAAAAGTTTTTATAGGCGGAATATGGAGCTTGTAAGTCAAGTTTAGAAAGTCAAAGACATTAAAGGATTAACTTTATTATTTTGTACTTTTTTTTCAATTATTGCTATTTTTTCAACAATAAACATAAAATTTTCAATTTATAGCTAACGAAATATTGTCTAAAATTGAATCACGTAACTTTTATCTTCTTATAATTTTTTCTCTAGGATCCATATTTTCCGAATTATAAACGAAAATAGGAGTGAAAAAATTAAAAATTTTGAATTGTTTTCAGATTTTGTTAAATAAAAAATTTAGCACAGGGTTTGCGACTGGCGCATATCGTGATTATTGATATTGGGCACATCCTGAAGGGATTCCAGCAAAAAAATAGCTTCCTATGGAAAATGTCCAATCCAAAACAGATCCCGTCTAGAATAAAAACATTTTAAGCTGCTCAACATCCAAAAACTCTTTAAAATAGCGGAATTTTGGTAGCAGTCCCCGTATTTTTCTTATACTTTTTATTTGTACGACCCATTTAAGGTGCCTGTCAATTAAAACTTCTAAATATTTTATGTCTTCTTCTTCTTTAAGTTCCATCTTCTATCGAAGGTTGGAAATCATCACGGCTATGCGGACTCTGTTGACTGCCGCTCTAAAAAGTTCTGCACTACTGCATTCAAACCATTCCCTTAAGTTCTTAAGCCAGGATATTCTTCGTCTTCCCACATTTCGCTTTCCTCGGATTCTGCCCTGCATAATAAGTTGTAATAATGCGTATTTTTGCCCTCTCATCACATGTCCCAAGTACTCAAGTTTTCGTCTTTTAATAGTTAATATTATTTCCGCCTCATTTCCTATCCTTCTAGTTACTTCCATGTTTGACATTCTTTGAATCCATGATATTCGTAGGATTCTTCTGTAACACCAAAATTCAAAGGCGGCCAGCTTATTCAGATGAACTTGTTTTAGTGTCCAAGCTTCCAGACCATAAAGAAGAGTAGAGAACACGTAACATCGAAGCATTCTCAGGCGTAGTTCTAACCTTATATCCCGACAACAAAGAAACTTTTTAAGTTTAATAAATGATGTACGTAATATTTTATGTACTTTGGTTTAAATATTTGTTGTTTTTATTTATTTTTATTGAATTAAAACTGGACAGAAAATGTTTGTTAGTTTTTTCATAATTTAATATGAGTTTGTTTATTTGCAACCATGTTTTTTATAATTTTGAAGTATTGTTCTGCTATAATTTTAAAATCTTTCAAATTATCGGCCTTATAAAAAATTGCTGTGTCATCAGCAAAATTAATTATACGTCCAACAGTTTTTAGTTTGAGCATTTCAATAATATAGAGTGTAAAAAGTAGAGGGCCTAAAACGGTCCCTTGCGGTACGCTCAAATGAATCACTTTGGTATCACTTTTGACACCATCAATTTCTACAAATTGTTTACTGTCAGTTAAGTAACTTTTAAGTAATGGTAAAACTTGTCCTCTCAGACTATACGTCTCAAATTTTTTCAAAAAGATCTCGTGAGATATCGTGTCAAACGTCGTAGAGAGATCGACGAATATCCATAAACTACGTTTAGTAGACTCAAAATCTTCTGATATTTGTGATGTTAGGTTACAAATAGCATCTTTTGTATATTTTTTTTTCTCTAAAACCGTATTGGCAATTCGATATTATACTAAACCTATCCAAAAAACTTACTTATCTATTTTTTAAAATTTTTTCAAATATTTTGGAAAAACAGATAACAAAGAGACCGGTCGGTAGTTAATCAGAGTTTAAGCTTGGGTTAGATGAATGAGTCTATGGAGGAAAATGTGCCATTATATGTATTAAATCTATTAGGTGTTTCTCTATATGACACTTTATTTAAATGATTATGACTTATATTTGTTATATTGGGAGATCTGCATTATTATTAAGGTTAAGTTTATCTGCTAAAATTATAAAAATATATGACTTGTTGCTAACAACATCGTTTCTTATCTAGTTGATAGCCGACCTTAGTCTCATGCGATTTCAATCGGAAAGTAAATGTAGTTTATTTATATAAATTGGTGTAATTGATATTTATCTAAAGCCCCCACACTATATAATTATGAGTTAAATATAGAAATACATGGTTTATTGCTCTCAATGTGTTTTTATTGAGTTGATAGCAGACCTTAGTCTGTCGTGATTTTAATTAAAAAGTTAAGATGATCGTGGACTTAAATTATCTAGTGTTTTTGTTTTCGTTTGTGATACGTACAAATAGTTTAAATATTTTAATACTATTTCCAACAGCAGCTAACAGTCACTTTCTCGTTTTTGAACCAATGTTTCAAGAGCTTGCAAAAAGAGGGCATAATCTTACAATTTTAACATCTAGGCATAGACTGTATACTCACGAGAACAAAACACTTTTATACTCGATAAAGGATGAAAAAACCTACATGGTAAAACCAATTTTACCAATGGATTTCTTTAAAGGAAGAAGAACAGAGATGTATAAGGAACAGTTTTTACTAGCTTCAATAACTGAAAGCACGTGTGAAAGGTTTCTCAGTAGTGAGTATGTGAAAAACTTTTTAAAAGAATCCAACAGCTATGACGTAGTCATTGCAGAAGTATTTGGGTCTCACTGTTATTTTGGTCTCGCTAAGAGATACAACGCACCTGTGATTGGTAAGATTATTTACATACTAAACGAGATATTTTATGTAACAATAAAACACTGAAAACTTCCACAATATTTCCACTGTTTTTAAACTTTCACAAAATTTATTTTAACTTATCACTACAGTGTTTTCGCCTGATGTTTCGGCTGATTGCCTTTCTCAAGTGATCTAGTTTTGACATGCGTTTACATTTTATAGTCTCTAATGGAATAGGTTAAGGAGGGGAGAACTGTTTGTCTCAAGTTGGTCATTCGGAATTATATCTGTGTTTTTTAATTTGTTGATTTCAATAGATTCTAACAAGGATAGCTTAAGGCCTTTATTTTAAATGTAAAGAATTTTAAATTCGTCATTAAAAGAATGATTGTGATCTAGAAGGTGAAGTGCGTATGTAGAATCTGTTTTTCTATTATTGAAAGCCCTTTTATGTTCTGCTATTCGTTTATTAAAGTTTCTACCAGTTTGACCGATGTAAGGTTTTGGGCAGTCGCCACATTTAAGTTTGCACACCACTGTGTAAGAGTTTTTTATTTTGGGTCTTGTTGTTTTTGATATATTTGCCTAGGTCGTTATTTGTTCGGAAAGCTGGTGTTATTCCTTTCTTTTTTATGTGCTTAGCTATTTTAGTAGATATTTTGCTTGTATATGTAATCGAGTAATAAGGTACTGGGTTTTTTCTCTGGTGGTGGAAATACTAATTTCAGGGCTTTCTTGTGTAGTTTTTGATTTAACATGTTATTAATTGTTTGTTCGTTGTATCCGTATGAGTAGGTTTATGAAATATGGAGAAGTCATGTTTGTTTTTAAGTCTGATAATTTTTAAATCTAAAAAGTTTATGGATTGATTTTGTTCTGGTTCTATTGTAAATTTAATATGACTATGAAACGAATTATTATACGATAAAAATTGATCAAGTTGTCTGTTAGTTCCTGTGAAACATACCAGTACGTCGTCTACTGGTATATGAGATATTTAACTTTATACAAATCAAAAAGCAAATCGTATCGTGTCGTGGCGCAAAATCCTTATCTGTGTTTCTCTTTAAGTTACTGCTTTATTTGCATTACTACTTATGTCTAAATTAAAAAAAGAATATCTGTTTGCATGCATTTTAATACGAATATAAAAGCTTATAGCTGTATAATATATTGTTTTATTAATGTTGAAAAACATATACTACAATAAATTCAACTTCAAGCTATGGCCGGTGTAAACAAATGCACGCTGGAAACACGCGTTTGTTCAGGGCCGGACTAGTAAATTAAAGCTGCAATACAAAACCTTATATAATTTGTAAACGTCTGACAGTTACAGATTATAGTACACCAATTTTTTAAATATAAAAATGATTTACGAGAGATATCGAAAGTTATTACCAACAAAATAAAGTATACAAAAAAAGTTTATAAAATTACCGTACTTTATTTTAACTTTGAGAATCTGATGTACTGCTGTCGTCATTAAAGTTGATAATGATAGGCTCAATTTGTGCCTTAATTAAATTGTCCAACTCCCACATTTTTAGAAACACTTCTTCTTTTACATGTTTGACGCAGTTTTTCCATTTTTCCATGGTTACAGCAGACATAGTTTCATGGAATAAATTTATATATATATATATATATATATATATATATATATATATATATATATATATATATATATCCGGTTTTTTAGGCGTTACGCCCGTCCGGTAGGGATCTATGGAGGAGTATCACCAAGCCGCAAGCCCTTATCTCTTGCCGTACTGCTCCACCATAGGCCGATCAGATCTCAGCATATCCTAGTTTAAGCCGCAGATTCATCTAGAATTTTAAACTGCTGCGTTAGACTTTTTGTTTTCAGTACACCGAGCTGGGGCTCGAACACACATCCACTGAACCATTCGACAGTGAAGCGAATGAGAGGCAGCCGCACAGCCCGTTGAGCTATCTGACCGACTGGAATACATTTTTAATGTCAGAAAATTTAAATGTTGTGTTATCAACTGCAACATAATTCTTGACTTGCGCCCATACAAGCTCGATTGGATTGAGCTCGCAGTGGTACTTAGAACTGGTACTTAGCTATAAAAACTATTCTATTTGTGCTTCTTACCAGTTCATCTACTATGTACTTAGTATATTCGCCTTTATATTGTTTAACGATTTCTAAAAGTTGCATCTTTAACATCGTTTCTTCAAAGTGAATGTCTTTTGAGCGAAGCCAATTTTGAATATCTGCCTTTTCTGTAGCCATTATGGGAATTTTTTCCAATTTTGGTAAATGGTAAGGGGCTTTGTCCATTACAATTACATCATTTTTTGCAGTGTTGATAAAATCTTTTGGAGCCAATTTTCAAATGACTTTCCATCTCCTCATGGTAGTCTCGACTTTTGCTTGACTCAAAAGCCCACAGTGCATCCGGAACAAAACCATTCTCACTTTCGATGTGACAGATTATAAATCTTTTACCTTTTCCTAAAAGTTATATTAAAGATAATAAATAAAAAATTTAAAGTTTATTTGAATTACCTGAGGGATTTCTTAACGGTCGACAGCCCATCCAAAAATGCACGTCTTGTAGAAGTCACAGAAGATTCCACCCAAACTTTTGGTTTTGTATAGCCAGCATTTATCTATGCTTCGTGTAAGTGATAAATGGTTCTATTTTTAGCTCTATATTTTCTTATCTTTTGCAAATACTTTTTCCGCCATAGCACAATTTCATTTTTGTCTAGTAGCAAACTATTTCTTCTACGTTTTTGAAATTTAAAAAAGTTTCGCAAGAGTTTGTTAAACGTGGTTCTCTTAAAATTTGGTAAGTCATTATCATTATTTACATCTCTTAGGACTTTGTCAATGGTAGGAATTTCATTGCAGAAAAAATACTGATGAATCATTCTTCTTATAGCTGACTTATCACAATCATCTACACCGACCATTGATTTTGAACGATTTTGGTTTGTTTTCGGTGCAGATAATGTGTGGGTACTTTTATACTCTCTAATCATATTGAAAACAATTTTCGAACCAACTCCAACTTTATCTGCAACCCTTTGTTGAATGTCCGTTAACGCTAAAGTAGGATTATCTTTTAATTCACATTTGTATGTATTAACCATTATTTATTTGGTTCCTATATCTATGTGATTTTTCTTAGCTCTTTTCTTAGGAGGACTTAGCATTAACAGTTGCTCATTTTCATTTGCCGACTCCGTATCAGACATTTTAAATAAATGTACTTATTATACTTTTCTCAACTAAAATAACAATAACGAAAACTCTAAAACAATATCTGCTTAAGTTGATTTTTTTTAAATATATAAAAAAGTTATCCGTTAAGGCTGTTTTATCGGTGCACCAAAATTTTTTTTCTGTTATTTACCGACGAAATGTCTCGAAATTTGGACATGTTATTCGAAATTATGTTGCCTTTAAATTGATCGTTTTACTTTTTTTATTTTTTTTTGAATTTTCTGTTGAAAAATTGGATTATACTGTTTAACGTTCTACTATAACCAGACTTTTCACGCCCGTCAGTTGAAAGAGTTTTTTTTTCTGTAATCGTTGATTCTTTTTTCGCCTTTCTGTGTCCAGTAATAATCGAGAAAAGCGTATTCAAACTTTGAAGAAAATTGCTAAAAAATACTGAAATCTAATAGTGAAACGTGTTTCTCATCATTGTCGCTTAGCTTGATCGTTATCGCATTAGTGACGTCAAATCTCATGAACGTACGGTACGGTCTTATTTTTATTTCTCCATTGGTACGGTTAGTTAGTTCGCTTGAATCAGAATCCATTTTAGTTCTTTCATTCTTGTATTTTCTTTATTAACTTGCTTAGTTTTTACAGTTTGCAGTATTCTTATTTATTTTGAAAACATTGAAATTATTTTATTTTATGAAATAATATTATAATGGGTATGTTTAAGTAATATATTATTAGTTTAGTGGTATAAGTTAAAAGTTCTTTAGTTTACGCGTATTTTTAAGTATTACGTTAGGTTAGTGATATAAATTATAAGAGACAACATAAAAAATGAGTCCCAGTAAACGTCCTAGGTCAAGGAAAAGGAGAGCAATGGCACTGCAGTAAGTATTTATTATTTATATATTTACAACCGTTTTTAAAAGCTTTTATTTAACTTATATATATATAAATATATATATATATATATATATATATATATATATATATATATATATATATATATATATATATAACTAAAGTAAGTAAATAGAGGGTTCATGACCTTACATATTATTTGTTTATGGTCAAAATATTACCAATGTTTTACTCTTAAATAATAATAATAACAAATAATATCATTTGCAGAAAATACTTTAAATTTTATCGTTATTTCTAGTAATAGCTGTCATTCTCAGTCAGTTGAGATTGCCTCTCCGCAAAAACCGTCTTTTTCGGTAGAAGGCAGAAGAATAGTGGACATAAACTTTTTCATTAAATCTATTCAAGGTTTAAATAATCATTCTCCATTTTCATGCAACTTTTCTAATATGGAGATTATCAAAGAAAAAATAGACGGATTGATAAGTACATTGACTTTTAAATTTCAAATGTGGAATATTGAAAAGGAGATAGCAACATAGGATTCTGGTAACAATTCACTGAACTTGAATGGTTCTGGTTATTCAGACATACAGCAGCAGTACGCTGCATTAAATATACCTGTGATGTCCTACAGGCAGTATGCAAAACATACGGAGACAGTTGCAGATATCATCGGCCAAACACTTTGTGATTCCTTAGAAGAGGCTGGACGGGAGGAATTAGCTTTAGCCAAAGAAATTGGTGAAGTAGATTCCGACGGAAATGGGTTAATTACCGTTATAGCTGATGATGCTTGGTCAAAAAGATCGTATAAAGTAAACTACGATGCTTCTTCAGGTGTAGTACCTGACGTTGTAAAATTTATTAAATTAGTACGCCTTTGATGGATAGGACATGCAATTAGGAGAGATGAAGATGAAACGATCAGAAAAATTTTCGACCGAAGAGGACCAGTGGGAAGACGATCCAGAGGAAGACCAAAACTTAGGTATCAAGATAACGTAGAGGATGATCTAAAATCCATCGGAGTTAAAGCATGGAGAAAGTTGCCAGAGGCAGGGGCGAATGGAATATTGTTCTGAAGAAGCCTTTGGCTCATAACGAGCTGTAATGCCACTGATAATGATGAAATAACTATCCACGATTTGTGTTTTATTCATCAATTTAATACTTTTCTTATGTAACTGCAACCTATAAATATATTAAAATAATGTATATTCCATTCAGAGAACTTTTTCCTCGCAGTGCGTCGCCTCGAAATACTTGCCAGATAAATACATTTACTATTATGATGGTTTCGCAGGTACCAACTTTTTATAGATAAATAAAAATATTTTTTGTTTAATTTTTACTACGCTAATATAAGTTTTCTCTAACACATAAATAACTTCTTAAAATAATTTTCAAGCTATAACTGCGAAATTGTTTATTTGTTTGTGACAACAAATTGTAATTTTTTTGATAATAATATTCTTATGTTTATATTTTAAATTTAATATAAATAAACACCATGGTGTTTTTTGCAGTCACGTTTCACAAATTTTTATTTAATACTATGTTTAGCTAAGACATATAAATTAAAAATGTGACTAATTATTTTTAAAACATTATCTACGATAATCAATCTAAAAAAAAAGTATTCCGGTAAAACTAATTTGAATGGAGAATAATGCATTTATTGTCATTAAACAAACCGTGGGCCGGCGCCACTGAATAAACATCGAAACTGCAGATTTTAAATTAGGAAGTCACGTAGGGTCTGACATAAGCAGTGTAGAAAAGTAAGTGATACGCCAACTTCGTGTTGTAAAATCGCAGTATGCTATAATTGCGAAAACAGCCTTAACTCTTTTCGGCACATCGGATTGAAATTTGAACCACCAAATTTTTGCTACATGTTGTGCAGTAGTCACAAAATGAGTCACTTACTAATCTTTTTTTATCAAGTACACCTACGCAAGTGGTTTGTACTATTTATTCCCTCTTTTACTATTAAGTGTTATCTTTAATTGGTAAAATTTCCACGGTATAGTTATCAGCCAAACACGAGTGGTTCATGTGTGCGCTTAGCGTAAGGCTCGGCTTACACACATCGAATTTGGACGGTCGATATAAGTTCGATCGAACAAATTTCTTTGGTGGCGCGAAGAAACAAATGTGAGCGGGCACACACGTAGATCGCCAAACGGCACGGCATCGATGTCGTGTGGTGATCTAGGATTGTCACTGCATGGACGGCTGCCGTGATCGTTGCCGTCGTTCCAAGACGTATAGTACCAAATGAACGCGCGCACACACATCGATCTTTATCGACCGAATAGAGTACCAGTTGCGTTTTTTTGACACTGCTCAAGGAACGTCGCTCCGTGTTGCTACGTGATTCTGTGTTGCTCATTGTGATTATGTGTACTCCACCTAACAAACCTTTGTGGATTAAAAAAACGTCATCGAATAAATATCGTGTAGTGTGCGCGCAAGGCATCATCGACAAAAGTTCGATCGAACTTTTATCCACCGTCCAAATTCGATGTGTATGCGCCTACAGGTGGATTGTTTGTTTGCATAGCAGGTAGATTTTTTTGTTTGTTATGCGTTCGGAGAATGACGATAGCTGATGGAAATTTTATGTGAGGAGTCAGTGCCGTAGGTTTACATTTTTATTCCATTCGTAAAACAGCAAGGTAGTACGCCTAGGTAATTTTTAAACGTGAAATAGACGGTTGTCGAATATTGAAGAATTTAACTTTATTTCGGAAACCTTAACAGTTTGAGCGATACATTATTAGCAAAAAATTTCGCAAATGGCGTCTTCTATTATCCCTTAAAAAATTTTCATCGGCCTACCAAACACCCTGTATAATATAAATGTAACTTTTATATTTTCTTTATTTCAGGCCTTTCCTCCACCGATTTACTGCCATGGATGTACCAGTGGTACGGTAGCCCTGAGAATCCATCTTATATACCAGTTCTTTTTATGGACTACTCTGACAAAATGAACTTTTTTCAAAGAGTGGAAAATACGTTAATGCTAATATTTTCCAAACTAGTTCACCTTTACTATATAGCTCCTACAGGGAATGAGTACTCTAAAAAGTACCTAGGTGTAGATCTTTTCGAAGGAGGAGATATTTTATACAACATGAGTTTATTGTTAACTAATAGACACTATACGTACCAAACTCCAAAACCCTTATCTCCAAATATAATTGAAGTAGGAGGAATTCACTTGGGAAAACCAAAGAAGTTACCAGAGGTAAGTTATACCACAATCATTATTAGATATAATTATCTATTAAATAAGACTAATACTACTAGTCACCGATATTAAATAAACCATTATTTAAAAAGTAAATTGAATTTGTTTTTAGCGTTTAATAATAATATCATTAAACTTATCCATTAGTCATAATATTTCAAAATTTAATAGGTTTGTTAAAGATGATTAACCTTTATATTATATATTCAATTGTATTATGTTTTATTTCTATTTATTAGATTGCAATTATGAATTTGGATATATTGCGTGCCGTTGTTATTCATCTTATTGCTAAATTGACATTAAGACTTATAATACATTGCGTATATTAGTATGTAAACGAAAAAATTAACTAATTATGATGGAACAAGAGATAGCAAGGGAAGTTATAGAACAAGTGCTAAAAAAACTATAAAAAAACAGTTAAATGATTTAACACAAATATTAAGGTTAAAGATGACAGCAAACAGAAATTTTAAACACATTAAGAAGATAAGGCCGAATAATATATAAAAGCCGATATAAAGCCGAATTTTACACATAGCAGCAGACGCCAATAATTAAAGATAAGGTTAAATTATGTAATGTAATTATGTAATGTGATGTAATGTCATCAAGTAATGAACTGCTCTTGTTATTATATATAAGGTTCTTAAACTCCTAAGTGGAGCATAGAGCTTCATTGAAAACTCGCCATCGGGTTCTATTTTGCGCTAAGGCCTTCACCTCATTCCAAGACTTCCCTTGGCCTCTTATCTCGTCCATGATGGATCTTCTCCAAGTTTGTACTGGGCGACCTCTTTTTCTTTTCCCTTGGGTATTTCACTCTAGGGCAGTCTTTGCGATACTGGAACTATTTTTTCGGAATGCGTGACCGATCCAACACCACTTTCTGGACTTAATTTCATTTTGATCCCTCTTTTGTTCGGTCAGGTGTAGGAGATCTTCGTTTCTGACGGTGTTAGGCCAGAATATACGGACAATTCTTCGTAGACATTTGTCAACAAAGACCTGTAGTTTGTCTGTGAGGGTGTTCGTCACTTTCTAGGTTTCACATCCGTAGAGTAGAACAGACATGACATTTGATTGGAATATTCGAATCTTTGTCCTTGTAGTATACCCGCCAGATCTCCAAACAGGGTTGAGCGTACTGAAAGCTTGTTGGGCTTTTCGTATCCTCATACGAATATCGTCTTCTGTACCTCCGTTTTCTGTTATGACACTTCCAAGATATGTAAAGTTTTCCACATTTTCAATTAGCATATTGTCAATAGTAAATAGCGTGTTGTTCCTTGCATTTATTCTCATGGACTTGGTTTTACAAATATTGATTTTCAAAACTATTTTTTTGGCTTCAGTGGAAAGTGTTTCCAATTGGTAAGCCAGATCTTGGAACCTCTGACCTAATAGGCAGATATCGTCCGCGTATTCTAGATCGCTTAGGCGTGTGGTTAACGTCCATTGTATCCCTCTTGTGTCGGAGTCTAGTTTGGAGAGAACATAGTCTATAGCCATGTTAAAAAGAAACGGAGAAAGCATGCATCCCTGTCTAACTCCAGTAAGTACGTCGAATTCGTTACTGTTGATCTCATTGTGTGTCACGCTGCATTTCGCATCAGTATATAGTGACTTTATAGTAGAAATTATTTGTTACGGGATGTTTCTTAGCTCTAAAATTTTCCATACAGCAGTATGAGACACGCTTTCAAAGGCACATTCCAAATCAACAAAAACCATGTATATGGGTGTGTTCCATTTAACTGATTGTTCCAGTATTACCCTTACAGATTCTGGTCTAAAGCCTGCTTGATTTGCTGGAAACTCAACCTTTTTTGTTAATCTTTTCAGTATGATGGTCGTGAAAATTTTATTTATGACAGTAAGCAAGCTTCTTCCTCTCCAATTTTTGCACAGTGTGAGGTTGCCTTTTTTGGAAGCTTGATAATGTTACCTTTTTCATAGCCCGCTGGAATGTGGTTTGTTTCCCACATCTCTCGGATTATGGGGAGCAAAAGTTCAGCGGTTAGATGCGGATCAGCTTTACGTATTTCAGCAGCAATGTTATCGATTCCCGGTGACTTGTTGTTTCTCAGAGATTTGATAGCTGTTATTATCTCCATTTTGGAAGGGGCCTCGCAAGAAATATGCAAGTCTATATTCTGCGGGCTTTCGACAATTTCATCTACGTTATCTCTGGGAATACCTAGCATCTACTGAAAATGCTCTTTCCATCTCCCTACTTGGTCATCTGTTGTAGTAAGTAATTCGCCTGTCTTGGATCTTACAATGTTCGAACAGTTGGACCCATTTTTTGTTAGTCATCTAGGAATTTGGTGAAGCTCCCTAGTTCTGTTGTGTTGTGCACTGTTTTCGCTTGTTTTGCCAGTTCTTCAGCCCACCTTCTTTTGTCTCTTCTTGCTTTTCTTTTAACTGATTTATTTAGTGTTTGATATTCCTGTTGTCGCTCTTGTTATTAAGGAGTTTTAATTTAATGAGAAAACATTACTATTTAAAATAAAACAAAAATTTAATAAAGTGTTAATTTAATAAACTAAATGAAAGGGATAAATAATGGCGGATACACAACAAATGAGATAAGAATAAACGAAATATATTCTATAGTTTTCCCTGCTTTACTAACTTAACATTTGCTGTGTTTGTATCTTTTTTTAATTTATAAATTGTAGTATTTTAATTTTTCGTGATCTTTCTCGCGTTAGTCGTAAAAAATAATTCCCGTTCCGAAGCATAATCCTGTTTCTATAAGCTGTATGATTTTTAAGTCTATCAGTAGGATGCTGACCTGGCTGTGGACCTATCTCCTCTTTTATCCGTCCACAGTTCCCTCGAGCTACTCGATTCAACCAACACAAATACAGAATTGCACTATCCAGGTATATAGACCTGGACAAAGAAGCGATAGATCAAGTACAAAAAGCAAATAGACTGGCAGGATGTCTTTACCTTTAACTACGGGCACCCAACCATGAATCTCAAATATCAAATACAGAAACAAAATTTCTTTAATTATTATAATAATTAAAACCACAATAAATTGCACAACTTGTGTTTAATCAATTAGTTATTAAATAAAAAATAAAACTAAAAAATAATTGAAAATAGTAAACCAGTGAGAAAAAACGAAAACAGTAATTTATTACATGTTAAAACTACAATCTAAAAAATATGCGAAAATTGTTAAATTTTTAACTAGGTAGAAAAATAAACACATACCAGTCTTAATTCATTTTTGTCTTCTTCCTGGTTATTTGAGTTAATACACTCAGGAAAAATGATGGTGGAATGTTCTTTGCAAACCATTCTCCTGCATGTCTGACACGAAATGGTTGTCACTCTATTTTTACGCCTTCCGCAGCAATAGCACCTTCTTCGTATTTTTTCTGGTGGTTCTTCTTCTTCTTGTTTTACTACAACAGCTTTATATTTCTCCAGGATTAGTTTTAAATCTAAGGGCAAACTCTCTATTTCAGCCGTTCTGAAAGGTGTGGTCTCAACAAAGATAAAGATAATTCCTTTAAAAATATCCTTCTATATTTTAGAGGATTATTTATATTTGTAGCATTATACATGATTTAATTTTAATTTCTTCAATTATTAGGAGCTGAAAAAATATAACCATCGGCCACCTTTGCGTTCTCCTTGATACCGAATGTGTACCGCAAATTTTATCTACTGTGTCAACACCTCCTTTGTGAGAATTATAATTTAAAATTATATTTGGCTTTTTTTTCTCCGGATCTACTGCAGAATCATTATGCATCGTTGATATCAAAGGCACGGCTTTATTTTTTGCAAGGACATATGACAATATAATTACCTCTTTTTGAAATCCGAAAAGGGACGATCCAACTTATCTTTCTTTATCTGGTAGGAACTCAAAGTGCAGCTCCCGTTTATTTTTCTTTAGTGTGCCAACCATTGTTACTTAATCTTTTAAAAGATCATTGGCCAATGAGTAACTTAAGTATCAATTATCACTTGTCAAGTTTTGATTTTTTTCTTTCCAGTCTTGAAGTAAACTGTGTACAATATCAGCAGGTTTATTTGATTTGTTTTAAGGTCCTTGTGGCTGATTACCACAATAAACCTCTAAATTTGTAACATAAAATGTCTGGGCATCACACAATACAAATACATTTAACCCATACTTTGCAGGCTTGGACGGGATATATTAAATAAAACTGCATCTACCTCTAGAAGGTATTAACATTTCGTCAATTGTTACTTATTCTCCCAAACAGGAGTTATTGTTGCAGTTCTCCACAAAACGATCCAGTGTAACTCGAATAGCAGCAGGCTTATCAATTTCCTTGCGTATCCCTCTACTATTTTTGTCATTAAATCTTAGAGCAGCAAGCAAAAATAAAAATCGATCAGCGCTCATGCACGCTCTAAATATTTCTGAGCCGGTTCCGTCTCTAGTCCACAATTCATGAAAATGAGTATGGTTTTGCTTTTTAGTTCCTGCAAGAAGTAGTAGTCCGATAAATGCTATAATTTCTATTTTTGTTGTGTCTTTATCCCGTCTCGACCGGTTATACTTTATTCGCATATTTGCAATGTTCAAGTTTGTACAATCAACTATATTTTAAATATTGTCGTCACTAAAAATTTTTTCGAAAGCACTTCTCTCATTCGTAATAATTCTCGAGAACGATTTCCGAAGTTCAATAGTAATTAATTTAAAATGCCACAAGAAAATAGCTTCAGAACATAATATAGATGTTGTAAAGGTCTCAGCTTTTGGAAGCTTTTGAGCGTTGGTGTTATCGAAGGATGCTACGAATAGCATGGGTAGACAAAATTACCAATATTGAAGTCCTTGATAGGGTTAATAAGAGGGAAGAAATTGTACAGACAATTAAGAGGCGGAAACTTGAATATTTCGGTCATATATTAAGAGGTCCTCGTTATGGGCTACTACGTTTGATTATAGAGGGCAAAATAAAAGGTAAAAGAGATGTAGGAAGAAGACGAACCTCCTGGCTACGAAATCTAAGGGAATGGTTTAGTCTGAGCTCTAGCCAACTATTTAGAGCTGCTGTAAGTAAAATAAGAATTGCCATGTTGATATCCAACCTTCGTTAGAAGATGGAACCTTAAGAAGAAGAAAGGTCTCAGATCTTTATCATATATTCCAATCATTTCTAGATACTCAAACAGCCTACCATGTTGAACCCTATCAAACCCTTTCGCCTCTACTCTTTTTAATTGACTTCACAGTCAGTGCTACTTTATTTTTCTTAATATATAATATGTCGTTGTTTCACACAAGAGTGAAATTTTCCATTTTTGTAATCGATCCAGCTTATTCCTATGTTTACATCTGAATATGTTTTTGTAAATTTGTGGAATTTCACTTATCTTTTATCTGCTTATAAACTGTTTTATTTTTTATAAAATTTTAAGTTCCCTTTATATTTTTTCAGCAAATACAGCTATGGCAGTTATCAACTGTTTTATAGTTTTTAGGATGGCTAAACATTTTTTTGTGCTTATAATTTTACTGACATTATTTTCGGTGTTGTATCCCATTTTTTTTTAATTATTTGTTTTTAGTCACTGGATAAACTTGTGAGCGGTGCACCAAGTGGAGTCATACTAATCAGCATGGGCTCAACACTTAAGGGTAGTACATTTCCAGAAGAGCAGAGAAAAATGTTCCTCAAAGTTTTTTCGCAGTTAAAATACACTGTTATATGGAAATGGGAAAATGATACTATGGAGGGATTACCATCCAATGTGAAAACACACAAATGGTTGCCTCAGTTTGATTTATTGTGTAAGATTAAATACGCTATAAGGCGTACTTTACTACTACTCGTATTTAAAGTCACATTTTATTTGTACAATACTTTAAAAGCACTTATAAAATCATAAGCGCCGTTTGAATGTTAAACTACAAAACTCTAGTAATTTTTGTTTACTTGTTAGATATCTCGACGTTATCGCGGCACATCCAATATATTCCTCACAAGTTATAGTAAAACGTTACTTCGAAATACACACATCAAAATAATCTATAGGACAAAAAAATGTGAGATTACAGAAGGATTTCGTAATTTATTTCAAATATTAAAAAAAAATTATACAGAAGTGCCCCAAATTTAAAACAAACAGTTTTTTAGAATTATCGCTTATCTATTAGTTTTATTAGTTAGTTTACATATTTAAGAAAAACCTATGGTCAATATCTTGCTGCGGTATTCCGTTTGACTTGCTGGGACTTAAACCCAATTGACCATGCTCAATTGGGTTTAAATCTGGCGAGTGCGCAGGTCGTGATAAAACCTTAATTTCAATATCTTTGAGACCCTGGCAGTATACAAACGTGAATTGTCGTGCATTTTTCTTTTGTGCAAAGGGTATTACAGTATTTTCGAGAATACTATTGCAGTGGTCTGTTGCATTTAGAAATCATTCTAGTACAGGAGATTGGTTCTTCCATCAAGAGTAATGCCAACAAATACCATTAAACTGCCGCGTTGCTATCTATGAACCTCCTGCATGGTGGCCAATCATTTAGTATTACCAGATCATCTGTAACTCTTGTCCGTATTGCATTTGGTGCAAATCCAAATGGAGACTCATCTGTGAACAAAGTAGAGATCCACTCACGTCTAACCGAATTTGCGTTTTCTTGTGTCCACTGAAGCCGATAAGTGCGATTTTCTCTGGATAGCACAGGCATTCTCAAAGGCCTTTGAACATTTAAACCTACCTTATGCAGTCTATTTCTAATGGTTTGGCTACTTACAAACACCTGATGGGTCTCTTGAAGCCCCATTTGTACTTGCGATGAAGTTACAGTGCATTCTCGCAAAGCCTGCCACCTAATAAAACGGTCTTTAATACAATTGGTACGGCCTTGACATACAGCTACATCAACAGTTTCTTAAGACCTTAATTACAAACGACTAATGACACTTCTGTTCGTGTGGAGGACCTCAGCAACGTCTCGTTGACTTCTGCCAGCTATAAGCATCGCGATAGCTCGCTACTTGTCTTTTTCATTATTGAAAATTTCAAAAATAAATAAAAATCTACAAAGACACCGAAAATCAAGTACCAATAAAGAAATCTTACTTTTTATCTTATAGACAAAAAACGCATATTATAGTTTTGTTAAATTTTTTCTATCCATTCTTATCAACATTACCGTAAAAGTTGGCAATAATGTACAAAACAACAAAAAAGATAAATAACTAATTTATTGTTGTCTTTGCAGCTAACATTAATGTAAAGCTAGTAATATATGTGTAGCCTAGAATATTTTGATGTGTGTATTACACATTGCAGTGATAACAAATTAATAGCTCGATAGACACGTGTTATTTATTTCATCATATTGCAATAAATAATTTATTGTAAAAAGTCAGTGACCAAAACGTGTCAATAAATTAATGAAAGTGATAAGCAAAAAAAAAGAGTAAAAAATAATGTTGGAATGCTGATAAGGACCACTCAAAAGTCAACAAGTTAATCGATAAAAGTGGAATGCATTTATCTGGCCGATTGAAGTGCAACATTGCCATTGTGAGCAGATTTTCGGTGCAATCACAGAAAAACAACAACAGATTTACAAAACATATATGCGAAATGCTGTTTTTCTGAATCTTTATTGACGCGAGAAGCAATTTTTGTCTTAAAATGGAACAATGTTTGTAAAGTGGCAGATGAATCGATATTGATTCAGAGATAGAAAGATGTATGTAGAAAGATGATAAGTAGATGTGGAGAAAAACTACATATCGCGGCATAAAAAGCCGAATCCATATAGAAAATAATAAATGCAGCAGTCAGAAATACTAAGTAAAAACGAGGAATTTAAGATCTTTAGTTTGATTTTACACTCTGAATGCTTCTTACACTTGAAATTTTTCTTCTTATTATTACTGCAGCAGTTACTTAACTAGTTACTATGATATTTAACCCTCCAGTGAACATGTGGGTTAAAAATTACGCGAATACGCAGGTGAGGCTTGTCAGAATCATCTTTGGCAATTTTTTTTTTTTGCAAAAATTTTTTTTTTTAATAAAATAAAACAGACATTTGTAAATAAATTAGTTCAGAAAATAGATAATTTTTGTATACCATTTGAAATACTTAAAAATACAAAAACTTGTTACTTTTGACGTATTCAAAATTAAAAATCAATAACGCGATTCTCTAGATAATCAAAATTTAAACCTATTTAGTCCAAAACTCTTTACCCCTACACTTAAACTTTTTTTTTTCTAATTTTGGTTTCGATACTCCTTACAACAGGCTGTAATATGCTTTAGACCATGTCGGGTCTTACACAATTTGCAAAAAAAATGGTGGGAGATCTGGATGCTCTGGATCTATTATTATAATACTAGTATATTTTGCAGCAAACTGGGGTATACTTCTAAGCACTGTCTTAGTAAAAGCCCGCCATGCAATGTTTGGTTTAACCAAGCTAAGTACTAATTTTTTTTTTAATGGTCCTTTTATCTTTGCGGCAGGTTGCATCTGGATCATTGTGATTAGTTATATTAATTTAATAAGCCACATTTAGCAGTTTATAAAATGTTACCATTGTCCATCTTACAGTTGCCCTAGCTACATTACACATCAAAGCCATTATATTGCTCATAAACTTAAAAAGTAAATGTAACAACGATTTCACGTTATCAGAATAAATACTATACCTTGTTATGAAAACAAGAGCATACAATTTTTTTTACCACTATATATAATACTATACAGTGCTTTTCAGATAAAACTATCCACCTTAAATAACTTTTGAACCTCTATTTTTTTGGAAAAACGCAAAAACACTTTAATTAATATCCGAAGGGGGATTCATAATATCATATGTAAGGTTGCTGGAAAATGTACCCTCTCACCCCCTCTATCAACACAATATTTTTTTTAAATTACTTCCCCCTTTTTTATTTTATATTTGGATTCTCCTTTTTGTACTGATTTTAGAAATGTATAATACATGATACTTGAAGTAATTAGTTTATGAGAAAAATAAATTCAAAAGCAAGAAAATTGGATTGAAAAAAAATTATTTTTTAACAATTTTATTACACACATTTAGAACAAACATTTCACTACTAAAAATTTGTACAATAATTGTTTAAAATGACTGCCTTTTACTTCTATACAATAGTACAATCTATTTTGAAATTCTTCTCTGACATTTCTTAACACGTCTGCATTTAATTGTCGACATTCATCCTCTATTCTTTGTTGTAAATCATCTAGATATTCTGGTTGAGTAGCGTTATTTTTGTTTTTAAATACTCCCATAAGAAGAAGTCTAGGGGTGTTCAATCCGGTGACCTAGGTGGCCAATCGATCATCTGTCGCCTTTTACCTATCCAAGGACCGGAAAACGTTTCATTTAAAAATTATCGCACAGGTAAAGCAAAGTGTGGAGAAGCTCCATCATGTTGAAATACAACCAAATCATCGTAAAGGTTATCATCATTTGCTACTATTGTTCTAACGATCAACCACTTGCCTATATAATTCAAGATACGATGCACCATTTAAGTTTTCAGTGATAAAGATGGGTCCGATAATGTGATTACGTAGGATACCACACCATACGTTTAACCTTTGAGGATGCTGTGTGTGAAATTCGCGTACAATATGTGGATCACTCTCAGCCCAGTATCGGCAATTATATCTGTTCACCAAACCGTTTAATGAGAATGAGCATTCATCCGAGAAGCAAATATTGTTTAACAAAATTTTGGATTGTTAATGATCCATTTTATAAGTAATTCACAACATTCGGGACGACGATCAAAATCTTCTTCATTTAACTCTTGTACTAATTTAATTTTATATGGATAAAACTTAAATTTACGGAGGACTCGGAAGGCTGTAGAAGATGAAACACCGATTGCTCTGCTTATTGTTGACAGTGACTGTGATTGTTAAGAGTCTAAGTTAACTTGCCCTAAAACAGCTACTTGGATTGCTTTTTTATTTACAAGTTCTTGTCGGTTATGCTTTTTATTGCAAACTGACCCTCTTGATCAAATTTTTTCTGCATCAGTTAAATCACACACTTATGAGTTGCATGTCTATTGTGGTGTGTTTCATTAAAAATTCTAGCAGCAGCTCTTGCACAATTATTATTTTTGTAGTATAAACCTACAATTTATATTCTTTCTTGCAAACTGTACACCATTTCAGCGATCAAATTGCACAAGTATCAAAATAAGCTGTTACTTAAAAGTTATAACAAATTGTAGCTATTAACCGATTAAAACAAATGTAAAAATGATATCGAAAACCTTTGATAAAACTTGAATAAAAAGTGATTTTTTTTGTTTCTTGGTTCTTAAAGGTACTACAAATAGTACGGTTAAATATTTAAAGAGTTTAAATTATGCTACAACCTATTTTGTTAGAGTCAATTAAGGTGAGGGAGAGTCTTGTTAGCAGGAAAATTGTCTATCTGATAAACTAATCACTTCAAGTCAAAGGTATTATACATTTTTGAAATCAGAACAAAAAGGAGAATCCAAATATAAAACAAAAAAAAGGGGAAGTAATTTAAATTAAAAAAAATAAAGGGTTGATACAGAGGGTGAAAGGGTGCATTTTCCAGCAACCTTTAACATGATATTATGTCTCCCCCTTCAGATATTATTTGACGTGTTTTTGCGTTTTTCCAAAAAAATTAGAGGTTCAAAACTTATTTAAGGTGGATAGTTTTATCTGTAAAGCACTGTATATATTATAATACATTTTTAAAGAACGGAAACCACAGGATTCTGTCAGTACATAAT